AAAAATGAAATGAATTCAAATCTCCATTTAAAAAATATATTTCTGGATGAAAATCGTCGGGAAACGTAACCTTCAATAAATAAGTAAAGATAAATGAAAATCACTGGCATTTAATGTAAAACTTATCAAACCAGCGACAACTCTTTCATACAAGGGATGACTCTTTCGATCAAGGCTCTACACGGCACTTCATTCTACTCCGATGAAGGACTAACGTCCGAAACGTCAGTTTCATTTTTACATACCATATGGTGTTACAAATTATCTATCTATCAACTGTTTTACTGAAAACACCGACACAGTTTACACTAGTTTTCACTAGTTTTCCACCCTACACGGCACTAGTTGAGCGATTTTGTACGACTAGAAAAAACTAGAAAAACTAACTATGCTAAAACTAAAACTAAAACTACGTCAAACTAACTAAAGAGTGGTGAATAGCGGCTAATTCAGTAAATGAAATAAAGATAGGTTTACAAGTAGAATTAACGTAAAATTGTTATTTCAGTAAGCCTACAACGTCAAGTTTGAACTTTTCTGAATCTGAAGAAGCCAGTAGTTTCTTTCGTTAACGTTTTAGCAGTATTCTAGGCTCATCCGCTCTTGAAGTATTTCCATATTTCAGGAGACAGAGACAGGAGAGTTGGCAGTGTCTTTTTTAATTGAGTCGAAAGTGTGCCGTCTTCATGACTTCAGCCATTGTGCATATGGCGGCCTGCTTTAAACAGTCAAAACGTTGAAAATTGACGAAAACTATCCATGTTCAGCGAGCCGTAATTTTCCAAAGCTTCTCATTCATTTCTGGAGGGAGTTTTTGAGTTTTTTACCAATAAAAGGCAGGAAAACAAACGGAAGGCTGTAGTATTTTTCATCTTGGTTRWGAATATCTTGAAGCTTGAAGTACGACAGTTTTCTTCTCAATCTCATGTTGAGTTCTTGAGGTCTTCTTTTGATGCCTTTTTTGCTTTGCATTTACACGTTTTGCAAAAGAAAGCCTCACTTTTGTTAACTAGTATTTCAGAAAACTTTAAACTTTAGCTAAATTCTTTCAAAGTAAACTAAAACTTCGCCTTTTGAGCGACTCAAACACTACATGACTTKTGGCACGTTCAGGAAGCCCTTCCAATGCAATTCTCGTTTGACATGCGCTGTCACTTTTACTTTTTAGCTCGTGAAGAGCTATCGAGGTGGCTAGATTTCGCAATTTTCGGATAACGCTTCTCAACCAATCGTTTTGGGTAATTACCGTAACCATGGAATCTATTGTATTCGCCAAGTGACGTCACTGGAAGAATCCACGCACGTTGTTTGCAGAGGAAGCCATTTTGGATTTTCGATCACTTTATAATCAAAAGCATATTTTGAGTATAATKAATTTACTTTATGCTCTTTTTATTGGACCTTGAGATATGAGATTGCCGTAWTTATCGTCAAGTTGGAAGAAGAATCCGAAAACAGCCTGGTTTGTTATACATTGGATCGACTAGACTCGGTCCAGATAATCTCAACCGTAGATAGACTCTTCCACAGTCTCTCGCTCGTCCGTTCCGTCTCCACGCTTAGAGACTGTAACGGTACAATGACCGAAAGGACTTATAGKTCCCGAAAACTTGGACCCAGCGTGCTTTGGGAACCAAAATACTCGTCCACAGTCTCTCTCGTTTCAATATTTTCAAGATGGCGGCGAAAAAGAGAGAGACTGTGGACGAGTATTTTGGTTCCCAAAGCACGCTGGGTCCAAGTTTTCGGGACCCATAAGTCCTTTCGGTCATTGTACCGTTACAGT